TTTGATCATGTTTTTCAACCAATCAGATTAAAGAACACAGTGCCTTTTGGTTTACAATTTTCATTTGTAAATAGCTGTTCCATCCAATTCACTTTTAGTGACTTTGCATCAGAAAATACATCAACCATACTAAGCGTTCCTTCAGAAACTGACCTGCATAAAGTTTCTCGTTTGATCCAGTCTCTTTTATTATTCCAAATAAACCGGAGAAGAAATATTCTGTTTATCCATCTGCTAATTTATTATCTCTTGAATTTCAAAACAATTAACTTTGAAGTTCCAATTAACCATCTCACACCCATATGTACAGAATGTAATTCTGCAAATGTCTGTATTCCACTCCAAGTTTAGACCAGGCATGTTCTTCCACTGCTGTTCTAAATAACCTGTGACTCATCATAATTAATCCTTAAAACTGAAATATCAGCAAACAGATTATGTGCTTGAAATGATTTTTCAATTCCTTCTAACCTGAATTCAGTGCTGTCTGCATATTGGGAAAAGGAGGGGATTTTCTGATCAGTGGTGATTCCAGTTATGTCCGCATTGTTCCTAACTAAATTTCTAATTTTTTCAGCACACGGCAAAACAGATTATCACCTTGTCTACAATATTTCAGAGCAGAAATGGCGCGTTGAGGTAGCCTAGTGGTTAAAGCATTCGCTCGTCACGCCGAAGACCCGGGTTCGATTCCCCACATGGGCACAATGTGTGAAGCCCATTTCTGGTGTCCCCCGCCGTAATATTGCTGGAATATTGCTAAAAGCGGCGTAAAACCATACTCACACACTCACGAAGAGCAGAAATGAGGTGACATGTTTCTATATATGATGAAATTGGAGTGAATATCATTATAAAAGGCTGAAACCCATTCCTACAGGTGTATGGTAATAATTGATGTTGGAAATATTTTTTTAATAATTTACAAGGAAATTTAGTCAAAAGCTTTCTCAAAGTCAACTTATAAAAGCTTTCTAGGCAAGTCATGTACTTATGTATCATCCATTGCCCCTAGTATGGTGATCTATACCCCATTATTTATACTGTATTGTCTTCACTTAAAATGGAATTTTAGAGAGAGATGCCAGTTATATTTCTTGATACTGTGATATTCTAGTTGGTTTTACTGTCCTTCGTTGACAGCTTTTAATAATGTACATGTATTTATGGGGAAATTAAAACTTGTTTTAGTCACGTTATGGCTGAAATAATGCCGATGTGACTTTAAATTGTAACTCACTCACTCACTTCTGTAGCAGCCGGGTTTATTATTTTAGGCTTCTTTAAAGATGGCAGTATTTCTTTCTTAAAATGACAGCTTAAAGAGACTCTGAGGAGTTTCTATCTTTAACATCAGCCTCTCTGGAGTCTGTTATGTTGCTTTCTTAACAATATATCTGATTCAATAAATAATTCTACGTCTTACGCTCTTTAGATTTACATAATGAGTAGGTTTTCCCTCTGATCCCCATAACTAAAGTTTAAAAGAAAAGCTGATCACTGATTGTAAAATTGACTAAGATTGGGGATACTGAGTCTAAGACATTGCTATAGACTGGCTCTGCATTGCATTAGATATAATCTATACTTCACTAATGTATTTGGTTTCCTAAGCGATGAATTATCCTTTTCTTATCCTGAAGGGTTAGATTATATATCTAACGTAACCATAGGGTAATCAGACCTGTAGCCTGGTGTAATATTCGAATTAGTAATGAGACAATACAAATTTTTAGATACAAAAACAATTATTCTAGTCTTGCTTGAAGGAGATGTTTCTCCTCCACGTATACCCCTAAGTCAGGATTGTGATCATGTTACTATCTATTTGATTTAATTCACCCATCAATTCTAACACCTGGTCCCTAGTATGTGGGTTGTTAATATTTTCGTAATTATTTTTTATCTCTGGCAGAGCCAATTACTAAGTTACAATTTCCATGTAACTACTAAACTTGTGGTATAGGCAGATGATACAATCTCACGGCCACCAATTTTTACAGAGTGACTTTTTTACACTGAATTCTCCGACCCCAAACTAATGTACTGAGTTCGTTCCAAGAGATGGAACTAAATGCAGGAGAGAGGCCCGTGAAGATCCGGGGTAGAATTGGTCTTCAGCAACCCACGCTTGCCAAAAAGGGCGACTATGCTTGTCGTAAGAGGCGACTGACGGGATCGGGTGGTCAGGCTCGCTGACTTTGTTGACACATGTCATCGGTTCCCAATTACGCAGATCGATGCTCATGCTGTTGAACACTGGATTGTCTGGTCCAGACTCGATTATTTACAGACCGCCGCCATAAAGCTGGAATATTGCTGAGTGCGGCGTATAAGTAAACTCACTCACTCACTAATGCATGAGAGAACATTCCTGGTGGTTCCAACTCTGGTCTCCAGTCTTTTTGAGCATCACATCATGGTCGATCGAAACAAATGCCGAGGACAGATCAAGAAGGAAAAGCAATGTTATTTGTTTCCGATAAATAGATTTTAGGATGCCATTATGAACTCTGACAAGTGTTGTGCCGGGGTTTTGTATAAGCAAGCTGAAAAGATTCAGTTAAGCCATTTTCGTGGTACAACATTTTTACTTTTAAGAGAAGCCTACACATCTAGAGGACAATGTATCTGGTCAATATTTTCCATTTTCGACATAGATGCACATTAATGTGTAGATTATATGTCATGAACGAACGAGTTTAAATCAATGTTTTCGGTTTCCTGAAAGTTACTACTTGCCGATGTGGTTTTGGATGTGGAAACATGACCCCAGACTCGACCTCATCTGATATTTGCTTGTCTTGATATGCACTTATAAAAAAGAGGTAAGTCCATCTTTTATGATGCTAAGATCGAACGTGTGTCCTGACCTGAGTAGAAACAGTGATTGAAATCAATATTAAATTTTCGGGTTCTAGAGCAACACTCAAGAAAATCAGAGAACTAGTTCAAAAACTTAGTAAATGAGGATTTATACTGTTTCGATTGTGAAAGTCGATATACTACAATGAACTATAGTCGCAGCATATTACTCCAGATTTCAGTTGTACAGGTATCCCCATTCAGACTCAGTACTTAGTTTTTCAGGGGTGGAAATAACCCATTGCCCGACGTCCGAGGCCAGTGTTTTTTTCTGTCGGGCAAGCAAATTTGTATATCACACTGTACCGGTGTCCTGTTGACTTTCCAATGTTAATTATGTTCTTTATGTAAAAAATCAACAAGAAAACAGCTGGTATAGTGGAAAAATTATCAGGGCAAGTGATTTTACATGTGCCACTGTACCGGAGTACACTAGCAATTTTAAAGTTATTTCCACCCCTGTTTTTTCTTGAACAAAATACGTATCTTGTAACAGGTACAGAGAATGCCTCTTAGATAACATACACTCTAGGAATAACACATGAGGCATTTGATAGCCTATGTAATACATAGGTTTGTTGATCTCCCTGTCCTACAGTCACGCAAACAAAGAATAACCAAGCTTGCAATCAGCAAGACATTCATAACAAAAATATACCTTGACTTCCATCCAGTATAATGACAGTATCATAATAATCAAGAAATGCAAAATTGGGAAGAAAACGTCATGAAAATCAGTAGCAAGTTTTCATTCTTGTTGTACATAGATAGGTTGATCATACATTAGAAAACACAGAGTTTCAAGCGTAATGAATGATTAAAATATTCATCATGAGATCCTTGTTAAAAAGGTATATAACCCTTGAACCCTAGCCTGGACTGTAAAACTTGTCAGATACGCTTGTTTGCTTATTTATTTACTTTATAGGATAAATCACCTAAAAAAAGTACATCTCAATGATTACGACTATTTCCACACATGTACAAGATGATATGGTTTAAAACATTATTCCTCAAGTTTCGCACGTTGTGGTTTCATCATAAACAAATTATTAAATGTCTGTGATATGCAGACAAAGGATGTTAAAATGTCTGAGATATGCAGACAATGACAGATGCAAATGCAATATATGATTGAAAGTCACTACAATCGTCATATCGTAACTGTGCGCTGTGAATGCAATCACGCAGTGAATGTAGTATATAACAAGATTAAATATACGATACGTTTTATGCTAAAGTTGACATATCCGGCATGTACCTAGCCGGTAGTAAAGAATAGTTTACATTTTAAGGCATCTATAGCCTCGGCTACCCACCAACTGTTGCTAAACATAACGTATATCTAAATCCACATTTGATGTCCGACTAAATGAACCAATAACCAATTCCGTGGGCGAGATAACTTCACTTTGCCTCACAAGCACGTAAAGGTAAAGTTGCGATTTATGGATGTCAACTTGTAGGAATACGATGGTCTGGAGTATATTCTTACTCATTCATTAGGTGATTGAAAACAAGTTTCAATAGCTAGAGTTAACAGGTAGCTAGACTTAACTGAATACCAACTCAAAAAAAAGAAGAATCAAGAGTTCAATATTTATGAAGACGACATATTTAGAACTTAAGACTATAGAACAATGGTTCTGTTTACGAATACATCTAAAAATTAAATTCATTTATTGATTGCCAAAAAGAACTGAAACTTGTGATGTCTTGTTTGTGTTGAATCAATTGACCTAGTTCTATTAGGACGCTACGAATACTGTTAATTTTTCACAAATGACGATCTCTTCTTGAATCTCGATCGTTATTGGACTGATTCTTAATACTGGGACGGGTAGGAACAATGGATTCGTATGTTTACGAATCGGAAAGTACATGTAAAAACAACGCTTCTGTCAACTTTCTGAATATTCAATTTATTGATTACTTCAAATTCGAAAGGAGAGACATTGACAGGTCTTAGGTGATTTAATTTGTTATGTGTTCGCAACCGCTTACTTACATGGCTCGTTACAGAACCTTTCGTTCCCGCTGTTACTGGACTCATGCGCAGATAAATTACAGTCGTTAATAATAACCTTCATATCATTAATCGGACAACACCAATGACAAATGAGAGTGCAGTTCCCTCCCTTTGGTACTCGATTCCAAAAAGTAAAACTCGATTCCAGCTGTACCCGACCCGGATTCGAGTACCCGTCCCAGCCCTAATGTGAGCTAGTCATTAGCTTGTCCTTGTCATCCGCCTGTGAGAGTTCCATGTGGTGCACGCAGTTATGCTGGTTTCGGTATCTCAAAAACTAAGCCACATGTAGAGGTTCTGCTGCTCCACCAAAGTCACCATTGCGTTTCAAGTTTAGTAGACGGCGGCGTATCATTGATTCACTTATGCAAATTCGCCTCAGGATTACGTTATTAAGGAGTGCGCTATCATGAATTCAGCTCCTCTAGCATTTGTAGGTTGCCTCTTGGAACTTCTAGCTTTGGCATGATCTGTTGGAATTAGGTGGATTCTGCTCACCGTTAAAGAAGGCGACCTCATGCAGAGTGCGCCACACCGGAAGTTTTGCTATATTTAACAGTTGTTTTCGAAAACGTGTGATCGACATGTCATCGAGCTACACTTCTGTACAGCGTTGTCTGTAAACTACATTGTGTTTTCTTTCTCCTTGCTCGCTTTCAACACTCAAATCTTCAAATGTGTATATATTAACACATGGCCCGACTGTAACATACATCAGGCCGTCAGCGTCCAGACAGAGGCCTCGCGGTTGTTCCAGACCTTCTGTGAGCACATCTCTGACAAACCGCCCTGACTTAGTCAGTTGAATCACCTTCTGATAATCCCGGTCGACAAGTAGCACATCTCCTGTGCTGGTTGTTGTGAAACCTCGAGGACATCTTAAGGTTCTTCCTCCGGTCGGGGAGTAACAATACCGGACTTCTCCATCACTGGTCACCGAGACAAATGAATTCACATCTCCCTGGCCAACGAGAATGTTCCCCTGGTCAGTAATTTGGATATAATCTGGGCTGAGTATTGAGCCTGTGTTGATGGATTTCAGTACGTTCCCCTCCATGTCCAGGAGGTCAACAGAGTTGGAGGATTTAAATGTTCCAGCCAGAAGCTTAAAGGGATCTGGAGACGCTAATGCGAAGTACTCCCTCTTTGTCCTGATGGTTGAAAGCAAGACGGGGTCCGGTGTGAGCTGCACAGTTACTATTTCCTTACTATCTGGAACACTGACTGCTATAAGATTTCTCTCAACCGTTGCTATTTGCCATGGTCTCTCTGAAAGCATCAGAAATCTTTTGTGAAGATTCCCCTTTGATGTATAATAGGATTTGAGGTTTCTGTTGGTGAAATCTGCTATGATCAAAATCTTATTTGGTTCACCTCCCAAACTGACGACTGTGACGTCAATCAAATCAGGGCAATACTTGTCATTCTCTGCGTGACAGTTAATGGTGTGGTGGGGGACAGCAGACGACTTCCGGTCGCTCACATCATGGACAATTGCAATCTCGTAAGCACAGTCGCCGCTTTCGTTCGCTGTCTGCGTGAAGATAATCTTCTCTGGGATTGATTGGTCGCCCATGTCCATGTTTGATTCTGTGTCTTCTTCCGACACTGTGCTCAGGGATTCGTAGATGGCGTGTATTTCCACAAGAGAGTAAGCCGTCACAGCATGTTTGATGTACTTGTACTGCTGACCGTACTGGCTCAGTCTCATCTCCTCAGACCGAATGTAAGCGTATAAATCTTGTATTTGCTCCTCAGAAAATGTATGCACATCTTGGACCATCCTTTTGACGGAAAACTTCATGGTGCGTTGGATTTGCTCTTTGACCTTCTCGGCGTTATTGGTTATGTTGTGGATATGTTCCTTCGCCATTGCAATATTATCCTGGGTAGTCTTCATCTTATTTAATATATGTTGAGATACGCATGTTAGTTTATCTTCAAAGAGGGGATCATGTTTTGTATAGATTCAACATCACATCCATCATGCTTTGTACTACAACACTCGTCACAGAGTGCAACATTGCAAACTTTGCAGTAACGTTTGACCTGATTGTTTCTGTGTTTTCTACACATTAGAACATGAGCTGGGTCTGATGTTGAAACAGACAAGTCTATGTTGCCCTGAAGGATGTTTTGTACAACAGCAGCTTGTGAAATCGGGGATGCGTTGTTTTGCCCATTACTTCTATCATAGCTCTCTGAAGGGAGGGCTGAGGCTTGCAACTCTTCATCTTCTGATATATTTCCAAAAGAACCTGAAAGTCGAATAAGTATTTGTTTAATATGTACGGAGATACAGAGTTCTTGTGTTACAGTATATCCGTATCACGAGTGCTGTCGTAAGTGACGACCAAAGGGATCTACTGTTCCTGTGCGCCGTTGATATAGTTTTAACATATTCCGATGTCATGTGTGTGTGTGTGTGTGTGTGCGTGCGCGCGTGCGTGCGTGTGCGCGCGCGTGTGTGTGTGTGTGTGTTAAGCCCAGTGGTTAACGCGTTCGCTCGTCACGCAGAGGCCCGGATTTGATTAGCCACATGAGCACAATGTGTGAAGGCAATTTCTGTAATCCCCCGCCGTGATATTGTTGGAATTTTACTCAATGTGGTCACTTAGTAAATGTTTCACAACCTACAAAAAGCTTATTCCAATTTTTCTTTTCCCTGATAGCCGCGAACAGCTGCAAAATTGCTGATGCGGCTGAAAGCAACATTTACTCACTTTTACTTGAACTCAGTGATATTAAAGCAAATCACCTGATGGACAGTCGCCCTCCAGTTCCTTTACGGAAAGGCTTGACTTCATCTGGCTGACCCACTCTTCCATTGGTCTGTCTGGGAAAGTCACGTTCTTCACTTGTCCACATATAGGACATGATGTGTGCAGAGGCAGTGATGCGGTGTACTTCAGCAGGCAGGGCTTACAGAACGAGTGACTACACGGAAGTGTGGTAGGATCAGTGATGACTTTTGTGCACAGCACACAGAAACTATTTCCGCAGGGATGATTGTCTGCCATCTGGAAAGTTGAACCTGACAAAACGAATAAATGTTTCTTTTTGTTAAATGTACAGAAAAATGTACACATAGCTTACACCTTTAATAGGCAGTGACAAATCTGTTGACTTAAACGTGGTATTTACAGTAGTGATGGTTTTCACGTGTTTTCACCTGTTAGCTTAGCAGGGGTGCCAACCAATATCTCATTCCCTGTGTGTATGTCCTCAATGATCGAGATCCTATCGAGGCTGTATCTAATATCGAACAGTCTTCAGCTTAGTTGTTATCATCAATTCACAAAATGGTTTGCTGCTTGTTTGTGTGTTTATTTTAACGCCGCAATCTCATCTGTGCAAGACAATCCTGAGACTGACATCATGGGCCGGCTAGCTGAGATGGAATGCAACGCCTTCCGCTGCCTGATAGCCTTAAGGAGAATACTCCAAGTGGCTTGAGAGAAGCTTGTGCATTCCTCATAACGCAGCTTATGGTATTCAAGGGGGGCGGTGGGGTAGCCTAGTGGTTAAAGCGTTGGCTCGTCACGCCAAAGACCCGGGTTCGAATCCCCACATGGGTACAATGTGTGAAGCCCATTTCTGGTGTCCCCACCGTGATGTTGCTGGAATATTGCTAAAAGCGGCGTAAAACCAAACTCAGTCAATCAGTCAGTCAGTATGGTATTCAAGACGTGTGAGTGAGCGAGTGAGTGAGATTCACGTCGTTATTAGCAATATTACAGCAATATCACGGCGGGGGATACCAGGAATAGGATTTACGCATTGTACCCATGAGGAGGGGAATCGAACCCGAGTCTTAGGCGTGACGAGCAAATGCTTTAAGCACTAGGCTATCCCACAGCACCATTGAAGGTTTGAATAGATTCTTGCACACAATATCATTTTCGTACGAAACATCTTATTTGATATTGTTGTGAGGTTCAACTGATTGCCTTTCATCGAAACCCGATGGAGTGAAAGTTATAGTCTGTTTGCAGTGAAAACGTACCGATGAATTTCACTTTAAACAAAAAAAGTAAATCAAGTTAAGTGAAATTAAGATTGCGAATCCTCATAATTTTACCTTGCCAAATGAACATTTAAATCTCAGATTTTTATTCAACTTAGGATAAAAGTCATAGTTTCAAATTGCTATTATTGGTTTGTATTACAAGGGGGTGAGCGCAGTAGATGGAACAGTGAAACAAATGCACGTGCGGTACGTGATGAGCGTTAACTTAGACCAACTCTACTTGTTCTCGATGTTTCATTTAAAGTGCATACCCCTTGTAATACAAAGCAATAATAGCGATTTGAAACTATGATCGTTTGTTAAACAACTTTTATCCTAAGTTGAATAAAATTCTGGATTTTGAATGTCCAATTGGCAAGGTAAAATTATGAGGATTCGCAATCTTAATTTCACTTTATTCGATTTACCTTTTTGTTTAAAGTGAAATTTATCGGTACGTTTTCACTGCACACAGACTATAGGCAAGATATCAGTGACTGGACTTCTTGGTCCAGATCGCCTCAGTATAGCTGAATGTTGCTGACTGCGACGTAAAACAACACTCACATAGGCGGATCCAGAGGGAGGGGGGGAGGGGGGTGTGCACCCCCTTTTGTCATGAAAGATTATTAAATGACCATTGAAACTCTCGTGAAAATGAAGTGTGCAAACCACCTTTCTCATACAGCTTTTTGAGAAGTGAGTGAGTAAGTTTAAAGTGCGGCGTAAAACTAAACTGACTCAATCACTCACTTCTCAAAAAGCTGTATCCGCCCCTTACTCACAGACTGAAAGATACAGAAGCACGTCACCTGATGTGAACTCGTCCATCCGCTCCTGGATGTAAAGACTTGGCCTCAGCTGCGTTAACCACGTTTCTACCTGACTGTCAGGGGTGGTCACTTTTGTCCGTTGTCCACAGATAGCACATGGGAAGTATTTGGCTTCCACGGCATCAGACTCTCCCTTGGTGTATAACAGCAGACAGAGCTTGCAGAATGTGTGATTACACTGAAGTGTGACAGGATCTGTGAACACCTTTGTGCACAGAGCACAGCAGAGGTTTATACGTTGAAGAACATCTGCCATCTGGAAAATAAATAAAATAAAATTTTGACGTAGGGAGGGCATGTGTAAAATAATTACCTTTCTTGAATCCGTGCAATTGACGAAGCTTGTATCAAGTCATTCTGTGATGCTCTACTAATTTTACTGTCCTTTGTTGACAAGGTATTATATATTATATGTATGTATTATTAATTTAGAACTAGTTTTAGTCACGATATGGCTGAAATATTGCCGATGTGACTTTAAATCTTGACTCACTCACTCACTGATTTGAGATTACGGTTTAGGTAAAAGGTGTTTCGCCTTTTCTCTCAGTCAGATTAAAACAATTGAACATATCAGTAATTTCTTAATAAATGTGAAAACGGCTTGTAATACGAATGTCTTACGCACAAGGATACCCCGTCGCCCAAACTGGAAACGATGAGTATGTGACAATACCGCGTTGAGCAGTATTTCGGTCACACCGAGGCGTGTCAGGTTCACCTTGGTGATATCAACACTGAAGTTTGAGCACCACAGGTCACAGTCGTGAAAAAATCTGTGAGCGGAGCAAAGAGGTCCTCGACAAACTAATGCATGCATGTGTACACACCTAGAGGGGCAGTGGGGTAGCTTAGTGGGTAAAGCGTTCGCTCGTCACGCCGAAGACCCGGGTTCGATTCCCCGCATGGGTGCAATGTATGAAGCCCATTTCTGGTGTCCCCCGCCGTGATATTGCTAAATGGGTGTAAAACCATACTCTCTCTCACGCACACACACTTACAAAAACAAACACAAACTTACAAAACACACACACACACACCGTCACACATACACACACCGTCACACACACACACACCCGGATCTTCACGGGTCAAGTTTCGTGTACCCTGCTTCAACAGTTTTTTAACAAATGTGTGATAGATTGATGAGGGAGATACGCCCGAAATGATAAAGGTGTCAGCAGTTTTGACACTTTGGAGAAATCAACAAACATGGTTATGGTGCTGTCAAACGGCATAATCAGAGCGGAATTCGAACCCATGTTAATCGGCCTCGACAAGCCAAGGGACACAACTCTGCATGGCGCCTTCGATGACTGGGCCACCCGGATTGCACACAGGACAGATACGAAGCAGCCAGTGCATCATCTGCCAATGCCCCGACCCCAGAGTCTATATGCCCTACTTTTGAAGCCGCTGTGACGCCCCTTTGCATTAGATAGGGCCTGTTCGATTATTGCAAAACTGGTTTTGGTTTCTGAAACTGGTTTCTCTTGTTATAAACGAGTGTCCAGTTTCGGATACATGGTTTCAAAGTGAAACTAGTTTCTAGTTTTATAAACGAGTGGATGGTTTCACCATCTGGTTTCAAAATGAATACAAAAAAATGTCTCAGCTACTATATATGTGGAAGGAATTGGATGACAGCATTGCCGAAGGTAATATTTTTTGTCATTTTATCAGGGATTGAACAAATAATAAGAGATGAGATGCTTTTGGAGGTAAATATTTGCGTATATGTAATTATACTGTAACAAGTAATTATATGTATACAAGTAACATAAAATAGTCATGTTCAATAGACTGGGGTTTTAAATAATATTTTCCTTGTTCTCAGTTGATTTTTATCATTGTTTTGGTTACAGAAACTGCTGCTCTATTTTGCCACCAAGATCAGCTGAACTTCGTTTCCGCCATGTTTGTTGTGAGGGAACGCGAAACCGAAACTGCGAAACCTGCCTCGGAGATGGTTTCGAAGTTTCAGAACCCAGTTTTAGGTTTCGACATAATCGAGTGCATGGTTTTCCAGAAACCAAAACCGGTTTAGCATAATCGAATAGGCCCATAGGTACGGTTTTCGATAGGTAATTACATTGGAATACGCTAGAGTGACATTTGGGATTTACTCCATATTCTGTTTTCAATAAATCTCATATTACATTCCACAAAGCCCATGTCAAAGCATATACATGTATGTACTTACCATGAAAAACTCTGTATACAAAAGAGTTACGGCCCAAACCCTTCGTTGTACATCCGAATCGTAAGCTGATAGCTATCACTTATCAACTGTGCTTTTTCCAGATCCATCATGACGATAAAACAAGAAATGAAATTCTCATTATGTTGTTTTTTTCCAACAGCTGTGTTTTCCCAAACCTTGTCGTGTCATCCCCAACGAGGCCACATCTTGTTTAGAGAACGTTTTCGTGTGGTGTTCCAAAGTCACTTTCATAATCTGATATGACGTATATATAGATAACAGTGTAAATACACTTCCTGTTTGCCTGTCACAAAAACACATTGCATTCCATTGTTGTCGGTCTTATAGGGAGGATCGGGGCTACAAACGATCCCCAGCATATTGATCCAAGTGCTGCTGATGTGTGTGTGTGTGTGTGTGTGTGTGTGTGCGCGCATGCGTGCGTGTGTGTGTGTGTGTGTTTAAAAAATAAGGTTTTACGTCATGTTCGGGGTTAGTTTAGTTTAAACATATTTTATTCACAATGTGAAAAGGATCGGGGACAAGTTCGTTCAACTTATTAAACCCCTCTCCGAAGATATTTACAATAACTAATTACATCACAAGCAATTATTAGAAACAGAGACAGAGAAAGACTGAAAGATAACAGGGGAAAATGCTATAATACAAAAGGTGTATAGAGAGAAGACTACTGGAATCGTTTAGATTTGCATATATATTGATGTACATTATTGAATATAATTTCATTTTTATGATTTGTCAGATCTGCAATGCCGTTTAAAATAACAGATTATGTAATCACAGAATTACTACCACATACATCTTGAATAGCTTTAAGCATGATCTTTCTATGTTGATTGTATAAAGAACATTCTAAGAAGTAGTGATGAGCATTTTCGCATGGGTTTCCACATGCGCAGGATGGATCAGTGATTAGCCCTACTCTGTACAGATCGTAACTTAATCTACTAGCTTCGGGGTTATTGCGCTATAGACCGGTTTGCCGCTTGTGCTCATTTCGAATGATGCCAGTTTATAGCACGCTACAGACACAGTACAGAGTCCCCGATTCAATGGTCCTGGTGGTCAGGCTCGCTCACTTGGTTAACACATGTCGTCGTATCCCGACTGCATATATCGATGCTCATAACATCGATCACTGGATTGTCTGGTCCGGGCTCGATTATTTACAGATCGCCGCCACATAGCTGGACCATTGCTGAGTGAGACGTTCAACAACAGACAAACATTCAGAAATAGTCTACACACAAAAATACAGGCATCATTGTGGTATCTTCAAGGCATTGTGAAATGTACGGAGACCTGGTTATAACGGTGAGTGGGGCGGTGGGGTAGCCTAGTGGTTAAAGCATTCGCTCGTCACGCCGAAGACCCGGGTTCGAATCCCCACACGGGTACATTGTGTGAAGCTCATTTCTGGTGTCCCCCGCCGTGATATTGCTGGAATATTGCTAAAAGCGGCGTAAAACCAAACTCACTCACTCACTATGACGGTGAGTGAGGTCTTACTTCCGCTTTGAACTCTATTTCAGTGATGTAATGACGCGTCGTCTTGTGAGGACAACCAAAGTGATGCAGATCTTAGATGCTGACCACTTTGGTCAAACCCAAGGGTGACCCGGGATTCGAACCAACAATCGTTTCCGTTTCAGTACGAAACGCTCAGCGTCTTACGTCAACTGGGCCTCTGGACTTAAGCTCAAACTTGAACTTAAACAGTGGAGGGTCGGTAGAAGGAGGGGTGGAGCTACCATGATAACAAACATGTTATTATATACTCATGCCAATAATGTTTGTCACCCCCTTCAAGTTTTTTTAATTGGAGAGGGGGTGAGGTGGGGAGGGGGGGTGTGACAACCATTATTGGCATGAGTATATTATTTGTTTGTTTGTTGTTCAGGGGGGCGGTGGGGTAGCCTAGTGGTTAAAACGTTGGCTCGTCACGCCGATGACCCGGGTTCGATTCCCCACATGGGCACAATGTGTTAAGCCCATTTCTGGTGTCCCCCGCCGTGATATTGCTGGAATATTGCTAAAAGCGGCGTAAAACTAAACTCAGTCAGTCAGTCAGTCAGTTCGTTGTTCAGTGCCACACTCAGCAATATTCCAGCTACATGGCTGAGGTCTGTAAATAATCGAGTCTGGACCAGACAATCCAGATCATCATCATGAGCATAGGCCGTTAAAGTAATATGAATACATTAATATGAAATACTAATTCTTGACATAAGGTATTTGTGATAGGGGCGGGAAGTGGGTCCCCCCCCCACACACACACACACACACACACCACCCCCTCCCCACCTTTTTTTTCCAAATCCTGGTTCTGCCCCTGCCGTACATTACACTCCAAGTAGTGCAGGAAATATCTATGTCTAATACAATCTTGCTTCGTAATAGGAAGGGGCGGAGGGGTAGCCTGGTGTTAAATCATTCGGTCGACACGCCGCAGACTCATCCCTCACATGGGTACAATGTGTAAAGCTAATGTATGGTGTTCCCGGCTGTAGTATTGCTGAAATATTGTGAAAGCAACGTACAACAATACTCACCCACTCGTACTAAAATGTAAACAGGTCAATAGCGTGTGAGCAGACGACATTTCAGATGTTTCTGACCCACTGTGACCTTGACAGTATCGTATACCTATCAAAACAACCTGTGCCAAACCGGGGATATAAGTAGGCTAACCTAGTTTGCACTTCAAACACTTTGCATTCCTATTCAAAATCTGCAATCCTATTACAGTTGACTTGCTGTCTAATGGCCTGTGACAGGCACCAGATGACTGACTGACTGACTGAGTTTGGTTTTACGCCGCTTTTACCAATATTCCAGCTATATCACGGCGGGGGACACCAGAAATGGGCTTCACTCATTGTACCCATGTGGGGATTCGAACCCGGGTCTTCGGCGTGACGAGCCAACGCTGGCACCAGGCCCCGATTTCTCGAAACAAACTTAAGTCTGAGTTTTGACTTAAGTTCAAATTTTTACTCAAATTTGAGAAAATGCATTTCCCAGAATGAACTGAAATCGA